GGGTACTACCACACGCAGATTTGTAGGGCATACAAAGGATGTGCTGAGTGTGGCCTTCTCTTCTGACAACCGGCAAATTGTCTCAGGATCCAGAGATAAAACCATCAAGCTATGGAATACTCTGGGTGTCTGCAAGTACACTGTCCAGGTGACTAGAGAACGTGGAGGAAGGAGCAAATGTTCATAGTGCTGCTTTCCTCTTGCCTTGAAATAGGACTTGTTTTCCTCATTTGACTTATTTTTGTCTCCTATAGGATGAGAGTCACTCCGAGTGGGTGTCTTGTGTCCGCTTCTCACCCAACAGCAGCAACCCCATCATCGTCTCCTGTGGCTGGGACAAGTTGGTCAAGGTATGCTTAGAATTGGGCCACAAGGCTTTGTTTGTTTCCGTGTGTATGTGTACACCGTCAAATAGGTTCTGACTGGTACAGTAGGAGATTGTCCCTCCTTGAGCAGAGCACAAAACTTTTGAGCAGCCTTAAAATACTTTATTGAATTTCAGTGGCTATAACTTACTTCTAACTGAAAACTTTACAAGTTTTCTTTGATAATACTAATTATTTCTGATCTGGCACTTGGAGGTAGGCTGGTCCACATTTAAAATAACAGTCCACCAGACTGAAAACTAGGACTTCAGATAGAAGCAGAGGGGGTAGTCCCTGTGACACCCTTATTTCTGATCTCTGGCTACAAGTTTGAGGTCTTCCAGCAATGTTTTGGATTTGATAATTCATTTGAATGATTTACAGAAAGCCCTACATTAAGGGAGGTCTATAAGCATAGGGAGCTTGCTACGTGCTTTGATGTCTTTAAACTTAACTAGTTAACTGATAAATAGGTGCCCCAACCAGAAGTGCCTGAAACTTAATTTTGACTGATCTGAAACCAGGTTGATCAGTCATGTGGACCTCCCCTTTATCAATTTAGGTGTGGAACCTGGCTAACTGCAAGCTGAAAACCAACCACATTGGCCACACAGGCTACCTGAACACTGTGACTGTCTCTCCAGATGGATCCCTCTGTGCTTCTGGAGG